TAAGCATTACAAGGATGTTTCAAAGCTTTCAGGAAGTTACCTGTGAGCTGAGAAAATGTTGGCAGTGGTCAGTAAGCAGGTATCTCTGTCTCTGTACCTCTTATTTTGTAAGAAGACAAACTAATCTTTATTTTATTAAATTAACTGAAAAATCTTTAAGGAACAAGTCACATAGTTTAGAAGGGAAAGGTTTATGTCTTTGGGGCAGCACGGTGCCAATATACTGCTGCCTCACATCTCTGGGACTGGACTTTGAGTCTCCGCCGTGGCTCCGTGGTTGAGGAGTTTGCTTGTTCTCCCCGTGTCATCGTGGGGTTTCCTCCTAGTGCTCTGGTTTGTGCCCACAGTCCAAAAACATGCTGAGGTTCATTGTAAATACCAAATTGCCCATAAGCATGTGCACATGGGCACAAACCCTGCAATGGGTTGGCACCCAATCCTGGGTAGTTCCCTGCCTTGCACCCGTAGCTTCTCTGATAGGCTCCGGCCCGCCCGCAACCCTGAATAGACAGGTTGGATGGATAACCATTGATAGTACAGTATATGCATTATGTACATAACACTTCCTTTTGTAACACTTATGCCCCTATTTTGTGTCCGCTTAGTAGTGCTACTGGCCAGTTCTAGGTTTGATGGGAGTGGTGGGGGAAAAGATAATGACACCTCAAAATCTAGAACAGCAACCCTTAGTAAATACTAATTGTAGTACATGAAGAATCGTGAATACATTTCTATACATTTACATTCAAATCGAAAAAAAAGTAAATCTCCCTCTTTATAAAGTATGGATTTAAATATTGTTTGTTTTGGGTTCTCAAGTCAGTGGATAAATCAGTTTATTCATAGTTAATCCTAAATCTAAATTTAGTTATATCCTAGTTCAGTTTTGCCTATTATTTTGTATCTATTTGTAATGACCCAATAAGTATTTAAATTCTCTATCCGGTATCTTTAGCACTTATTTATTTTTCTTTTAAATCAGTAACCCACCCCACATATCAAACTCAAAATTCAACACTTAAAGGAACAAAACAAAATCACATCGTATACAATTCAGACATAACAATATCCAAAAGTTAATACAGTGGTACCTCAGAACTCGAACTTAATCCGTTCAGAACTCCAGATCAAATCCTAAAAAGTTCGAGTTGTGATCGAATTTTCCCCATAAGAAATAATGAAAAACCAATTAATTGGTTCCCGGCCCCCAAAAATTACACCTAAATA